GCACTTTAGTATTGAATGATTTTTCCAGAAAGCTTCTCTGGAGAATCAGCTAGACATATCACCGTTTTCCTTTACCTACTAGCTCCTCTCCCTACTCCCATTCACACACACACACACACACACACGCACAAACTTATGCCGTTCTGCGGTTTAATTTAATCTATAGTGCTTCTCAATGTTTGTTCACGAGTCACTTTGCAATCTCTTCCGCTAATTCAGCCTAATCCATGTAAACTGAAATCCTCCGTAATGGCAGTTTGATGTTGCTTTGGATGTTCAGCAGCTTTTTTCTGAATACTAACTGATTGCTGGTGCTCGTTGCAAACACTGTGCAGTAAGTGGTCTTTAAGGCTTTGAAAATTCCGCTCTTAGGTACTGCAGGCTCGGAATTCTGCCTATGTTTTGCCGACCCCAGATTTGACAATACGCAAATCGTTGACTGCTTCGTACTGCAAGTGTTGGTTTTACTTTCACCAAAGCATATTTACTGGAAATCTGTTCAGTGGGCTTAAAAGAATGTTCATTCGTGGATCATCCCGTAGTGAACGCTATTACAGGCGAAGAGCGATTCCGAATCTGCCGAATCAGGCATCGGAGGGACAAGCGCACTGCATGATGGAATTGGCCAAGCGTCTGCTTATTGAAGCGGGTGGTAGCCAGAACACAGTTATCTTCAATGCATCGCAAAGTATCGGCAGCCAAACTAATACACAACGTAACGGTATTTCGTCGTCGGATTTCTTCAGGCGTGTTTTCCCCGCAACTGAATCGTGTTGCAGCGAAAATACAAATTTTCAGGTCCTCACCGGCAGTTGCACGTGTGCTCATTTCTTATTGGACTTTATGCTTTGGGCTTGAATAATTTGTTATCAGCGAGTTGGCAAACTCGAACTTACAGCACCAATGTCAGTTGGATCCATGGACAAGCAATTGAAATTGGTATGCTATTTACTGCACAGAAAGGATTTTCGTTCAGGGGCGCACCATACGCTTCTTGGGAAAAACGCAGCGGTGCAGAAAAGCTTTAGCACTGCTCCAGAAACAAACTGTCATAACGGAGCCTTGTTTTTCAGATGGGTATTGGACCGGGAGGGAATTGAGTCTTTCGATTTCGCATTCGAATGTGTCTTACAGCACTGACTCCTGTGCTCTAGAACAGCTTGGGGACACCTCTCTGAATGTACATCTGCTCTCTAGGCGGCATACACCTTCTCTGTACTGACTGCTTTGCCAAATTGTTACGGGTTTCCGCAACATGGAGCTTGTAGTTACAGGCATGTGAATAACTGCGCACAACCCTTCCCGTCAATTAGAATAGGTCAAAAGATGGGCGAGAAGGAACAGAGGCCTACCAAAACAGTGATTTGTCAGTGCTTACGAGGCATTTCTCCTTAATTTTTTGTCTTCATGCTTACTTTTCCTAACTTCTATAGTTCTCTGAGTTTTATCGTTTTCGTGTTTGTGGTTTATTCCTGTTCTTTGAGTACTTTCTAATCTGTTTTAATTATTCGAAATATTTGTATATAACTTCCCACATACTTGCGAAGCGGGGGGAAGATATTATACTGGAGAAAACTGACGAAATTTTTCAAGATCGTGAAAAAATGCAAAAGGTAGACTCGAATAACTGGGAAAAATACGAAACCGTTTAGAGGTGACGCTGTTGCGGACATGGATAAGAGGCCGATTTCTGTTTGAAATTAATGCATAAAAAGTAGTACACTGCTGTTGATCTGCGAATTTTAAGTATTAATTTCTTGTAGATAATAATCAGACTCTACTTCTTTTGCATTTAGGGAGTTCTGCTATAAAAATTGTGGAACGAGTCTGGGAAGCGCATCTTACACCTACCGAAGTAGCCGCTCTGGCCGACAAGGTACTGTTCATGTTCACTAGGAATTCTTTATGCAGGATTTTTTCGAGTTTTTTCGAAATTTCTGATCTTTCAGGCCAGCCAGAGTCGCGATCCATGCATGGTTGAAGCTGCTGCAAAACTTGCCCTGAGTGTTCTGCCAAAGGCGTACGCTCTGACAGCAGCAGAAAGCCAGAAAGCGTTGCATCAGTGCAAGGAACAAAGCTCAGAAATGCTGGAAAGGGCATGCCGTGCCGTTGAGCAGGTTCTTCACACCTTACTATGTTCGAAAATGTCATGCGGTACATTTATACCCCCGAATATGTTATTCAAAAATATCCATATGCTTAAAAATCTGCATTTCTTAAGCTTTTCCTCTACTTCATGCGGTCGTCACACTTCCTTGTTTGTTACCTCCTCTTTGTCTGACCAGAATTTTTTCCTGTGATGGCCCTCCGCAGTTCGAAACACGTAGGTACAGAGAAAATTCTTGCCGCATTTTGCAAGCAAAGAGAGCGAGGATGTTTTCCAGTAGTCCAGGCAATAGCGTTGCCTACATTGTTTTTGACTGTTTCTGTTTGTAAAGCAGACTAAGACGCATAGGCAGGTTTGGGCTTCCTGGGGAGAGGCAGGAAGAGGAAGTGGGGCTCCTGGGGATGGCGGCGGGTGGGGAGGAGAGTCCCCTCATCCTGGAACAATGCAAAAAAATAGCGATGCGTACCAGAGCAGCCGGTGCGATCATGCGTTTTGTGCGATTCCGTCCAGTAAACATTTGCCTGTTAAGAATTTTCACTGCTTTGCACTTTGGTCTGCGCAAAAATAGTTGAATTGTTGTCTGGTTCCTAAGTTGCAGAATTTTCCACTGGAAATTTCGCATGCCGGTACGTGAAAGCTGAATTAAAACTTCGAAGGGTGAATATGTCTCCAAAATTTCAACCTCCTAATTTTCTGGCTTTCGAGTGATTTTTGCGACAAAACTTGCACGTGATCGTATGTGAGGCCATGGCATAATTAGGAAATAAATATGAATTTGTGAAGCTCCTGCTAAGGCAGGAAAAATCCTCCTGGAATTTTCAGCTTCCTGGCTCCCGAGATAATGATTTTTTTTCGCCAAAACTTTCACGGGGATGTTGAGCATTTGCGAAGTCGTGCGTTGGTAGGGGGCATCACCCTAAAATTTCGGACTCACAACTTTCGTGGTTCCCGACATAATTTCTTCGTCAAAACTTTCACAGGACCGTATGTGTTACCCGCGGGTAAGAAAGGGCTTTTGCGAGGTCACATATGGGCGGGGAACATTCCCCTAAATTTCCAGCTTCCTAGCTTTTGTGGTTCCCAAGTTGAAAGTTGCGGACAAGTTGCTACGGGCACACAAACACACACACGCAAACTACCGCGTGATAATATGCGTTTTGTGCAACTGTTGTACAGCACAAAACGCATAACTAGGAATAGAGTTGTAGCACTGATACTTAGAGTTACTATCTAATTTAGTTTTAGTATTAGCTTTTGCAGAACTAGTGCCTGCGCCGCCGGGAGGGAGGGGGGGGGGGGGGGGGGGGGGGGGGGGGGG